GCTTTGCATGCAGAAGGTCCCTGGTTCAATCCCCAGCATCTCCTGATGGGGCTAGGAGAGACACTTTCCAGAAATCCTGGGGAGCTGCTGCCAGTCAGTGTGGACAATATCAAGCTGTTGTTGTTGTCTTAGTTAATTAATTACATTTATATACTGCTAGTTGGACCAGTGGTCTGACTCAGTAGAAGGCAGCCTCCTTTGGTCCTTTGTTGTTGTTGTTTAGTTGTGTCCGACTCTTCGTGACCCCATGGACCAGAGCACGCTAGGCACTCCTGTCTTCCACTGCCTCCCGCAGTTTGGTCATGCTGGTAGATTTGAGAACACTGTCCAACCATCTTGTCCTCTGTCGTCCCCTTCTCCTTGTGCCCTCCATCTTTCCCAACATCAGGGTCTTTTCCAGGGAGTCTTCTCTTCTCATGAGGTGGCCAAAGTATTGGAGCCCCAGCTTCACGATCTGTCCTTCCAGTGAGCACTCAGGGCTGATTTCCTTAAGAATGGATAGGTTTTATCTTCTTGCAGTCCACGGGACTCTCAAGAGTCTCCTCCAGCACCATAATTCAAAAGCATCAATTCTTCGGCAATCAGCCTTCTTGATGGTCCAGCTCTCACTTCCATACATCACTACTGGGAAAACCATAGCTTTAACTATACAGACCTTTGTTGGCAAGGTGATGTCTCTGCTTTTTAAGATGCTGTCCTTTGTACTAACATGAATTATTGCCAAGTATAAACTTATTCAGCTTTCTGTGCCTCTTTTCTCTTTGAGCCTTGTCCTCCCGCCATTCTCTCCTTGCCCCCACACTCAGTCTGATCCCACTCCAATCTTCAGCCTCAAGCCAATCTTGCAAAGATCACTAGTGCCTCAGCTCCCTTGCTGACACCAGGCTTGTGAGATCTCCCTTTTTTCTTTTTTGCTAGAACCTTGAGATCCATAACGGGGCTTTCTGGTGGCGGGAGGGCACATCACTGAACCAGCATCATGAACCACGTGTGATTCAGGGTTGATTGTTGCGCCAGCGATCTTGCTGTCTGTTGCACCTTCTGCTCCAGTTGTCATATGTGGTGGGGCTGAGGTTGCAGCAGGGGAATAGGAAAGGGGAGGCGGGGGAAGGAGGCCGCCTCAGGTACCATCATGGAGGGGGTGTGTGACAAATTATAAAGGAACAATTACTGCCCTACAAGGGCGGTTCATTAATTATTATTTTTTTTAAATGCCTGCTCCAAAGGCATCTTACTACACTAGGGATTATATAGCTATATCTGAAATTGCATGCATATCAGTTAATATCTTGACCCTCCTCCATGAAAATACAGTGGTACCTCGGGTTACAGATGCTTCAGGTTACATACGCTTCAGGTTACAGACTCTTCTAACCCAGAAATAGTACCTTGGGTTAAGAACTTTGCTTCAGGATGAGAACAGAAATCGCGTAGCAGCAGCGGGAGGCCCCATTAGCTAATGCGGTGCTTCAGGTTAAGAACAGTTTCAGGTTAAGAACGGACCTCCGGAACGAATTAAGTACTTAACCCGAGGTACCACTGTAGCTGTTTACTTGGCCGTTTTCCTATGTAGTGAAGGCCAAAATTTCAATTCAGTGGAGCAGGGTCAAGATATTAACTGATATGCAAGAAATTTCAGATATAGCTATATAATCCCTAGTTTAGCAAGATAAGACCTTTGAAGCAGGCTTTTTTTTATTAAAAAAATTTTTTTTTTATGAACCACCCTACTGCCTTACCCTCCGCTGGGCTTCCCGGGTCCTGGAAAGACAGCCTATGTGAAGAAAATGAGACTAGGCCGAGTAGATTAGATAATACAGAGCATGGTGAAATCATGATAAATAAAACCTCCCCTTCAGTAGTTTCAAGCACTACTACAGGTTCCACGTAATATCTGTACTGCATTGTTTACTGTGACAGCACCTGCACTTTGGAACTCCCCACCTGTTGCAACAAAGCACGTGCCTTTGCTAGACTCTTTTCGGGCACCTGATAAAAGCATTCTTCTTTAGGCAAGCATACCTAGATGCTTAGGAAGTTGAAGTAATTTTAATCTTAATATTTTAGTTTTTGTATGTTTTAAAGTAGGATTGTTAATTTTTCTTGATTTTACTGTGGTATTTTTTGTTTTTTTGTTTTGTTTTGGTAAACCACTTTGCAGGTTTTTTAAAATAAATTTTATTAAATAAATAAAAAATAAACATAAATAAAATAACACAAGCCAAAACACAATCCATCCTGTAGATTTAAGTATCTGTCCATAGTCGCCTACTTGTTATCAGAGGCCCAGAATCCACATTCCTTTGTAAGAAAATATGAAATAACGTAAAACCATTTTTGTAGGCAAAAATAAATAAATCAAAAAATCATTGTGTGTGGGGGTGACAAGAAATTTTCCGCACCGGGTACCACCTTACCTTCCTACGCCTCTGGGTTGCAGCAGTGGTCCCACCTCCCTGGAAGCCCCACCAAATTATGGGGTGGGGAGTCTGAATTGCTCCTTTAGCTTCACAACAGGCTTAGGAGAGGGGTTATGCTGAGACAAAGTGACTGGTCCAAGGCCTGACTTTCATGACCGAGCATGGATGTGTCCCTGGTCTTTCCTGGCCCCAGGTGTCAAATGTTATCACTGCACCATAAAACTGGCTCTTACCAGTTTTATGCAACTTTGTGCCATTTTAAGCAATTCGTTGACTGAGCCAAAGCTCATATGATTGACCGACTAAATTATTTTTAATTAACAGCCGTATCATTCCTATAAGTGTGGTGGCATATTTTCAAGAACAGTGGAGCAACTAGTAAACAAAGAAATAAACCACGGCCATCCCTTTTGCCGCCTTAGAAATCCATGCCACCTCCCTGCCACCCTGGAATAAGAGTTTTTGCAAACTAATATTTACCAAGCAAATCCTGTCTTTTCCTGCCAACTGCCCATGCATGTGGGTTTGGCCAAATTCACCGCGCACGATCTAACAGCGCCGCTTAGACACACATCCAGCTCCTTCCCACTGAGCAGGTGAAAAGTTTCCTGACGTGATTCACCCCGCTGTGGTCTTCTTGTTTGCTGAATGTGATTTGGAAAGAATATTCCTCCTCCACCACCCACTTTCATCATCATCATCATTATTAAAAATCATTGTTTCAAGAGGCAGCCATAAGCAACGAAACCACAAGGCTAGTCTTGGCTGGCTGACTACATTCAGCAGCTGCTGTGTTCCAAGTTCTGGGCAAGCCACCGTTATCCAGATTCCCACTTGTCCTCTGTGTCTTCTGCCTCAGTTGCATTACAGCATCTTGAGCAAGATGGACCACTAATTGACCAGTCTGGAAAGACTGCCAGCGTTTTGATGCAGCCCGTTCCCTATCCCCAGCAGACTGTGCCTGCCCCTGTCACGCCGCGTTTCCCACCCCTGTTATCTGAGGCCTGCGACATCTTCCAAGCCCTCCTTGAACGCAAGACTCCGATTTAGCATGTGATATGTGCTGTGTAGCTTTTATTTCCAGCAGGCTGCTTGGGGTTATTGTATCTGGACCAAAGTATATGTTCCGAGTGTTCTTTCGGCAATTATATTCTAGCAGACTAGCAAGGCAGCAAAGCCAAATTTCTTCTCCCCTTCTTTTCGTCTTCCTCTCCCATCCCTTCACACAAAGAAAAAAAAAACCCCATGCACCAAGCCCTATCTTGGGCTCCTTCGCAATTATTCTGAAAGCTCTGCACACTCACAAAAGTGTTGATAGCTACATATTTAGCGATCCTTTTCTTAAAACAAGAGAGAAAATGCTGGATGCGTTTTCCACTAACCCCCACACCTCCTGACTAAAGTCGGAAGGCTATTTAAGTTGGCTTCAGTGCATTTCTTCATTGTGTTGTGCTGACATGATTTGTTCAAAGAAATTGTGCTTTTGGAAGGAAAAGGTTAAAGTTTGCTACTGATATTCATCAGGAGATGGATATTTAATCTTTAATCTCTTGTTCTAGGCCCCTACTTCGGATCAACTCATTATCCCGAATAAACGATGTGTCATTCCCATTATTTATGTTTCATTGCAGCCAAAGTATCTGGACCTCGTTTGGGTAAGCACCATTCATTTCGACCCATTCAGCATTAATCTCCCTGCTAACATCTTTCCTGTCCTATGCGCTGTCCCCTATTTGCTTTTATGTTTTCCGTGGAGTGTTTATAAAAGGATAATCTTTTACAAAGCAGACAGAATTTTTTTGTGTATAAACTGCTGGGTTTGAATGCCTCATTGATACACCATCTAAACTGAAGTGTTCAGCAAGATTAGTGCATCCAGCGAGCTTCTGAACTGGGTAAAAAAAAAAAGAATTTAAAGAACAGAGGGACTGCGCCTTTCTTTATGGTGGGAAAAAAAAGGGTGGCTAATGATTCCGTCACCATTCAGATGGGATACTTTTTAAAGCAGATGGACTTGGAGAACAGGAAAACATTTGAAAAAAAATAATTTTAAAAAACCAGCCAAGGAGGTCGCTTATGGTGACAGAGAGAAAGGGAAAAGAGACAACAGCCGTGTTATTTTGTGGATTCTGATCTGCTGGGGAGTGAATGTCAAGCTGGAACGGAGCCATAGAAATCGGCAGAGTGACTTCTTCTACATCATGGTAGCTGCGATCAGAAATTGCCCCCTAGCACCGCTAAATGCATACGACTTTTGCTGGGGAGCAGAAGCACGTCGCTCTGTAGTATGGAAATAGGGTAATTATTTTTTTTTAGAAGAGAGATTCATAGATGCATTAGTGATGCATTTTGCCATCAACTCCCTCCCTCCCTCCCTCCCTCCCCCCCCCCGCCCGCCACCCAATCTGTGCACTTTACAAAGCCATATCTTTGAGGATGTTGAATGTTGGGTGCTATTGACAGACATCCCCCTGTACAATGCAAACACTTTTTTGTTGTTGTTTAAAGAACACAATATGCAAGTGCTTTTCTGCCCATATCCCCCACATTTAATAGGGAAAATTCCAAAGCAGACATGTGGTGGTATCATTTGAATGGCATAGATCCTTAAATACATTTGTCACTTTGCTCGCTTGCCAGATATTTTTCAAAGATCCACACCATCGAAAACACTCCAAATTATATCCATCATGACACTGTCAACATGTAGCACTGTTTAGCGTTTTATTTTCATTAAACTGCACTATTGTTGTCCATCTATTATGACATAAACTAGGATTCGTGCCCTTGCATTAAAACGAAACGAAGACTGAAAGAAATCATCGGGAAAAATGTTCAGGAAAGCTTGCAATTCGTTTGTGTTTGTTGAGCTGCCTGGGCACATGTGGAGGAAAAGGGTAGGTGAAATGTCATGTAGTCAGCTGCGCATTGCATAACGGTGGGTATTAAATTCCAAAGGGACTCAATCAGACATGTAGCCAAGAGCATGGGATGCAATTTTACTTCTGTAACTACTGCTTCTGTTGTGTATATTACCCCACCTTTCATCCACAGGGCTTAAGGGAGGGATACATAGTTCTCTTCTCCATTATATCCTCACAACAATCCTGTGAAGAAGGCCAGGTTGAGAAAAGAGTGAGAGGTCCAGTGTCATCCAGTGAGATTCATGGCTGAGTGGGGATTTGAACTTGGATCTCCCTGGTCCCAGTCTGACATGCTGTACTGCTATATTGCACTGGAATAAAGGGGGGGTAAAGGACCCCTTGATGGTTAAGCCCAGTCAAAGGCAACAATGGGGTTGCACCACTCATCTCACTTTCAGGCCGAGGGAGCCGGCGTTTGTCCACAGACAGCTTTCTGGCGCATGTGGCCAGCATGACTAGACCACTACTGGTTCAACGCAACACTGTGACGGAAACCAGAGCACACGGAAACACCGTTTACCTTCCCGCTGCAGTGGTACCTATTTCTCTACTTGCACTGGCATGCTTTCGAACTGCTAGTTTGGCAGGAACTGGGACAGAGCAGCGGGAGCTCACTCTCGCAGGGATTCGAACCAGTGACCTTCCAATCAGCAAGGCCAAGAGGCTCAGTGGTTTAGACCACAGCACCACCCGTGTCCCTGCTGCACTGAAGTATATATTACTGTTGTGGTCATGGTAGTTATGTGCAGTGCTATTTTTCTAGAAAAAGAGGTTCCAGAACTCACCATGAACACCTCCTTTGTTCTCTTAGAATGGCAATGGTGCCCATATGAGAGGCACCGGACCTAAGTTCTGGTGAGCTCCAGGTGGAAAAAAAGAAGCAGCCCTGGTTATGTGTAAACAGTGGCTCTGTTCTTACAGAGGTGGCAAACCTGGCCCAAGCTTTATCCTTTAGATTGCAAGAGCTTTCGTGATCGAATGTTCCTTTACACGGGGGGAAGTGCCCTCTGGATTTGGGTTTCCAGACCTCCAGGGCTGACCTGAAGTCCCCAGATTTGCCTGGTTCCCTCCAGCCGGCAGTGGGAGGGCTTGAATCTCCAGGCGTATTCTTAATATTATTTTAAAATTGCACACACAGCTTGCAAGCTCTGGTTCAGCAGGAGCCAGATTTAAATTATTTCATAGTCCCTTTAAGTGTGTGTGTGTGTGTGTGTGTGTGTGTGTGTGTGTGTGTATGTATGTATGTGTATGTCCTGCCTTCCTCTCTTATATAACTGCCATCTCCAGCCCACCCCTGTAACATCACCAGCAGCTACCCCTAGGTCTCAGGTTTGGGCCATGAAATCTCAGCTTCTGGGATGTTTCTGACTGGGCAACACTACACTGCATAGAGAGGTAAACTGAGGTCAAGCTCTAGACTGCTAGTTTTCTAGGCCCCATTCACACTACAGTGGTACCTCAGGTTACATACGCTTCAGGTTACAGACTCCGCTAACCCAGAAATAGTGCTTCAGGTTAAGAACTTTGCTTCAGGATAAGAACAGAAATCGGGATCCGGTGGCGCGGCAGCAGCAGGAGGCCCCATTAGCTAAAGTGGTGCTTCAGGTTAAGAACAGTTTCAGGTTAAGAACGGACCTCCGGAACGAATTAAGTACTTAACCTGAGGTACCAATGTATAGTTTTAAAGCAGTGTGCCATACCACTTTAAACAGTCACACCTTCATGTAATGAATCTTGGGAAGTGAAATTTAAGCGTGAATTTAGTTACCGACAGAAGAGCCAGAAATTCATCCAATGATCTCAGGGCAATTATAGTTGAAGGGAGTTTGAGCAGTATTCTGTGTTGCAGGCAGACAGGAATCGGGGAGAAATTCAGTTCTTGTTTGCATTTGAAGGCGAACCTACCAAATCCACGCTTCCTGAATCATTACATGAACTGAAACATATCCATCATATTTTGCAATGCAGGTCTCCAGTCATGTAATGGGCAGCATATGCTAGGATAAAATGTGCATCTTACTGAAACTAGCTTATTAAAATACATTATAATAGAAAGATAGTGCTTGCACACACACAAAAAATACTTAGCTAAATTGCTGAGGAATTTTTAAGAAGATTTTAAATGCAAACTGATGTGGAAATGTGGAGAAGTGAACGTAAGATTGTAAAAAGGAGAAAAAGAGGGACAGGTCTCTCATTACAGCAGACTAATTATTTTAGACTTCCACAATATAAGCAACTGGATAAAAAGGAGACTACTTGCAGGACCACTTGTCTATGTTATCATCCCAGAAGGAATCTCACTGAGCTAATGATTAGCTCTTGGTGGGGAAGACCCGCGCTCTGTCTTGGGAAACTGAATGACTCCAGAGATGGGTAATGGGACGTATAGCTTCCCATCCTTCAGTTTTTTTGGCTGAAATTCAGCTCAGCTTGAGTGTAACCAAAGGTTCACAGCCTAATTGCTATTTGATGTTCATCAAGTCTTTGGTGGTCTCCAATGTAACTTCCAAGGGATTCAATCAGCCATCATATTTGGCATGCTCAGCAAAAGTGAATGGTGGCCAGGACTGAAATAGTTTGGAGACAGAACCCCTCCTCCCTTTTTCCTCCTCAGCTCAACTCAGCCGGTGCTGCTGCAGCAGATTGGAGAACTGTGAATTCTCCAGTTGCTTCCACTGAGGTAAATTCCCCAGAGAACCAAGCACTGCATCTTCGCTCCCCAGTTTGGTTTGCGTCTTTCACAAGCTCAAAGCTCCATGAAGACAAAATGGAGGGAGAGGGAAATTTGAAATTTGATTGCCTTTCAACATCGTTGTCGACCGGAAATTATCATTAGCCAGTGCGCCTGCACAACTTGTGAACTATGTAGGGGCGGACATTTCCTACAAGCCTCTTCTGTCCTGTTTCCACCTTTTTGTTGTTGTTGTTTAGTCGTTTAGTCATGTCCGACTCTTTGTGACCCCAAGGACCAGAGCACGCCAGGCACTCCTGTCTTCCACGGCCTCCAGCAAAATCTGCATTTAAAAAATAATAGTATTTTGATCATGTGTTTCTCCCCAAACATGCATTCCAAAATCTATTTTCCCTCAAGACCTCATTTCTAAGGCTGCAACCCTATACTTTACCTGGGAGTAAACAGGAAGGACAGATCCTGAAGCTGAAGCTCCAATACTTTGGCCACCTCATGAGAAGAGAAGACTCCCTGGAAAAGACCCTGATTTTGGGAAAGATGGAGGGCACAAGGAGAAGGGGACGAGAGAGGACGAGATGGTTGGACAGTGTTCTCGAAGCTACCAGCATGAGTTTGACCAAACTGCGGAAGGCAGTGGAAGACAGGAGTGCCTGGCGTGCTCTGGTCCATGGGGTCACAAAGAGTCGGACCCGATTAAATGACTAAACAACAACAACAACAACAACAACAACAAACATAGCAGGATTGCCAGGAGGTCAGAGAAGCACCTCCACCCCAACCAGCTTGTCTGCTGCTGCAGGTGGGGTATGTCAGACATCTGGCAGACCTCACCCTATGCATAACTGGGGAGCTGCATTCAGCTTGGTGGTCTCTTTCAGGATGTTGATGCAGAAATGTTCATATGGATATTAACCCATGCTGGTCAAGGAGAAGGATCACCTCAAAGATCATTCATCAATAGCCTAAGTGGCACTTGGAAGACGTGAGTTGTAAAGGACTCTTTAAAGATGCTGTAGCGATACATCTTTTGGCATGTAGGTATTGATGTTTAAGTGATTGATATTGTTCCTCAACAACAGGGATTTCTCACATTAATATCCCTCAGAAATAGCCCTCCATGAAATTTATGAGAGCTGCTGGCAACCCAGGTAGCCATAAAATATTAATCAAATGTGTGTGTGTGTGTGTGTTGCCGTAATATATATATAAAGAAGCAAAGAGCATTAAGAGTCCAATGGGACCATTAAGAGACCTATAAAAATAAAATGTCAAAAGACAGGCATTGTCAAGCTTGTCAGGATCCAGAGCATCATTTACTCTAATATTTCTTCTTTATGTTCCTTTTTGATAATAAGGAAATCTGTTGACCTCAACAGGACTGGTTTCTTAGCCTTGGTGATTCGCAAACAAGGGGGGGATGATGGTGGTCAGATCTGTAGAGGATAGCATGTCATAGCGGACAGAAAAATCAGCAGATAAAGAGATAGGGCAGCAAACAAGGAAAACAATACAAAGATTGTAAAAACTTTTAGGAACGATCAAATATCCTCACCACTAAATAATTTCAAGGTTGCCAGTAACAAGATCTTTCAGCCATCAAATGCCTGGGTGAACAGGAATGTTTTCAGATCCACCTAAATATTCACATTGAACCCAGGTTCAAATTCCTGCTGTGCTCCACCGCAATGATCCCTGGGTGGCTGTGGGTTATGTTGCATCTCTCCATCCAACTTGCTTCACAGAGCAGGTTTTTGTATAAACGGGATCATCTTTTGCTCACCGCCTTGAGCATCTTGGAGGAAAAATGGGATACAAATGCAACAAATAAATCACAAGAGTTGGAACATGGAAATTTAATATTAATTACAAAATCTCATGAGCTCTGCTGGATTCTGTCTAGGAACATCCGGGGTTGCCTTATAGCAAGCCAGACCAGAATGATCCACCAAGGTTAGCACTGTCTACCCTGACTCTCCCAGGCCTAGCTGGAGATGAACCTGGGACCTTGGGCAGGCAAAGCAGATGATCTGCCACTAAGCTGTGGCTCTTCCCCAGTTGGTTTCAGCTGATTCAGGCTTAAGTCTTGAGAAAAGAAAAACACCCTGGTCTCTCCATTGGTTAGTTATGCCAATGAGAGTGTATTCTGCAGGCCAGTATCTACAACACTGAAAGCTCCCCTTCGAGTAGGGCAGCCACCCAAGGACCACTCAAGGACCTCACCTGATGCTCTCAATCATCAGATGGATCTGGAGGAGAGAAGGCAGCGTCTTGGGTATCCTGGTCCCAAATAGATTAGAGCTTTGTAAACTAGCAACAAAACCCTTAACTTGGCCCAGAAGTATATTGGCAGCTTGGCAAGAGATGGTCACGTCCACAGAATCCCTTCAAATCACATGGCTTTTCCCAAAGAATCATGGAACTGTACATTACCCCAAACGGGGCTGCAATTCCCAGCACCCTTAGCATACTATAGTTCCCAGGATTCCTTGGGCAAGTGCTTTAAATGGACGGTGTGGATGTGACCATGAAGCAAACTGAGGGATGTGTTTTTGCCAGAAACTTAAGTTTTGCAAGGGAAAATGTGTATTGAAAACAGTTACTTGATGTACCTGTTTTTCACATGAAGTTTTAGATAGGGAAACAAAGTGAATTACCAAAAAAAAAAAAAGAGGAGTTAACCTTTACCTTTGTAACTGCCGTCCACAGCTTTCTCTTCACCCTCCTTTTCTTTCTCCTGAGAAGCCCCGAAACATCTAACTCTTAACTCTCTTCGGGCCTCTTATTTGATGAAAGCTCAATCAGCGACCAGACTTTAAAAAGCTACGTTGTGAGGGAATCCTCGTCTTCTTGGCTAACAATACGAAAGCAGAGAAAGGAATTGATTTGACAGCTGAATGGATTCCAAAAGGGAGCAGGGCAGCGGTGGGGGTCATTTTCTCACATGGCCAAAGAATATGACAGAGCCACGCAAGGGTGTATGTGTGCCTTTCAACACCTGGCTCAACTCTAGAACTGTTTCTTTGGAGCCCAATAATAAAGGCTGGAAACCTTAAACTCCTTACTCCCGAGAACGATACAGAGAAATGCAAACTTGTGCAAACTAATATGCATAGGCATTGACTTTCTTAACTAGCGATTAATGGGTTTTTAATCAAGGTGACTGTGGCGTTCGTACGGAGCCCCCGGTCGTCTCACTGACTATTGACCTGTACACCACTAATCCGCTGCCACCAACCAGGTCCTCCCTGGTAAATCACTTTCAGCCTCAGTCAGGTTCTCAATTAATAAAGAAGAGTGTATTTTATTTCAGACACAAACAAACTTTTCCGGCATTCCAAACGTTGTTACTCGTTACTTTCTTAGTCTTGTTTTCCTCTCTCTATCTCTTCTACCTCCCCTCACTCAAGAACCCACTGCCCTGTCTCTCTATTTCCAACTGCCTGCCAACTGCTTCTCCAACTGCCTTTCCCAACCAGCCAACCCACTAAAACCAACCCACCGACAACTCTAAGCCCTATTATACACATGTAGGCTCCGCCTCCAGCTTTCCTATTGGTCTACATTTTTAACTCTTTCTTTTCCCCCTGTACAGACAGGCTCTAAACGAATGGGCAAATGCCACATCAACGCACATGGTTCTCCCCCTCCTTATTTAATCCCCACAACAACCCTGTGAGGTAGGTTAGGCTGTGTGACTATGCCTGGCTCAAGGTCACCCATCGAATTTCCTGGATGAGTGGGCATTTGAACCCTGGTCTCCTAGGTCTTATTCCGACACTCTAGCCATTCCACTAAACAATTTTAGGTGGCGCCGACCACTGCAATTTCACTCCATGCAAAAGTAAAAAATAAAAACATGGAGGATGTCTGTGGCTAAACTTTCACCCTTGGCCAAGCCACCAGGGCTGTGTGTGCCAGGGGTAAGTGTGGCCAACTCACACTCACAGCACACAAGTTTATCTTCTCAGTTTATCTGTGTGGAGAGGATTGCTGGCTACCCTCTGCTCATCAAACTATCAATCCGATGGGAAGGGGGCAAGTGGCCTCCCCATTATGGCACTAAGTTCTGCCTTGACTTTATTTTTGTTTTATTTTTGCTGCTGCTCTTTCGGCAGGGGGTGGGGTGGGATTTGCTGGGGGGTCACACCAAGCCTCTAAAGCGAGAGACAGCCACTCTAGGCAAATTTTGGAGGGATGGAAAGAATTTCAACAAGGCTAGTGGCATTTCTGAACAGGAGGAGGAACCGGGCTTGTCGTCTGTATATTGTTATCAGATCTCACCCAAAGCAACATTTTAAGCTCAGTTCTTATGCCAGCAAAGCATCTGACGCAGTTCCAGGGAAAACTGACAACATTTCTCAAAGTATTCCCCCACTGCACATTCCTAACTTGAGGCTTTGGGGGGCAGGGGCGTAGGAAGGGGGGCAGACAGCCACGGATGCCCTCACTGAGGGGGCTGAAATTTGGCGCACCACACGCCCGCGACTCCCAAACCTACCCCAAGCCATCAGGGTAAGGGGGGGAGTTGCGCCACTTTGCCGGCGGCATTCCCCACTTCCCACTTCATTTTGACTGCTTGGAGGAGACTTGGGAGTCATGGGCGGACAGCGAGCTGAATGTCCATGATGGGCAGCTTGCTCTGCCCCCGGCTGCAGGGTGCTCGTGCCACTCCAGGCACCCGAGCGTCTATCCCACACCTGGGAGGGCACCCTCCGTGCCACGTCCCACTTTAGGAGCACGCCATGCCCTCCTTGGAAGGGCGCCCTCCCTGGGCAACGTGGGCATATGCTCTGCCACTGTTTGGGGGTCTTGTGGCACCTTAAAAGTGCACACACAAACACACACACACACACACACACACACACACACACACACACATATATATGAAGTACAGTGGTATCTCGGGTTACATATGCTTCAGGTTACATATGCTTCAGGTTACAGACTCCACTAACCCAGAAATTGTACCTCGGGTTAAGAACTTTGCTTCAGGATGAGAACAGAAATCATGCATCGGCAGCAGGAGGCCCCATTAGCTAAAGTGGTATACCTCAGGTTAAGAACAGTTTCAGGTTAAGAACGGACCTCCGGAACAAATTAAGTTTGTAACCAGAGGTACCACTGTATTAGTTATATATACACACAATTACACACACACACACACACACACACACACACACTTTCCTTTGCCCCGCGGCTGTTTCTGCTCCCTCTCAGCCATCATGGAGCATCGAGGGCACCGCCAGGCCCACAGTTTAAATTGGCCAATCTGCGGCGACCTAGAGGCCAGGGCTTGGGAAGTGCACCTCAGGAATGCATTCTTTCCTCAGGTCCGTTCCCTGGGCATTTAAGCAAGCTGGGGCTGCCCTCGGCAGCGCAGTTGACCAGGGAATGGACTGCAGAGAGTACAGTTTGTGACAATTAAATGTGAGTTTAAATGTTTACAAAATGACCCTTCATAGCAGCAGCAATTGGTGAGAACCTGTTCACCATAGCATCTCTAGTCTTTCACCCCTCCCATTCAGAATGTGACTGAACCTTCCTTCCCCACATTATTATTATTATTATTATTATTATTATTATTATTATCTAAAAAGCGCTGCATGACTTGGCTGCAAGCCTGCCTGGTTGCTGCGTGCTTTGAAATTTTGCCAGGTAAAAATGCCTCTCCCTGGACATGGATGGTATGTGATGGTGAATGATATATCATTGCTATGGAATTGCGCAGGGAAAGATGGCTCCCTCCATGGACAGCTCAAGGGGTCAGGCACCCCCCTCCCCCCCCCCGCCAATAGGGGTGGCATTGTATAATTCCAAGGGAGGGGCATATTCACCAAGCAAGTTAATTATTATTATTATTATTATTATTATTATTTTATACCCTACCCATCTGGCTGGGTTTTCCCAGCCACTCTGGGTGGCTTCCAACAAAACATTAAAATATAATAATTCACCAGATATTAAAAGCTTCCCTAAACAGGGCTGCCTTCAGATGTCTTCTAAAAGTCTGGTCGTTGTTGTTCTCTTTGACATCTGGCGGGAGGGTCTTCCACAGGGCAGGTGCCACTACCGAGAAGGCCCTCTGCCTGGTAAAAAGTGCACGAGAGCCAGGTGGGCTGAGAGGCAAGCTGTTTGGTACTTTAAATTTGATTGATTGATTGATTGATTGATTGAATGGAAAAGACTCACAAAATTGAATCGGTGGAGGCTGGTCCACCTGAGAAAATGGGGCCCCGCCCATCTCATTCTGCACTCAGCCAGCCCCCAACTTTCCTGCTTTCTGACTTACAATGACTCCATAAAGTGTCTCTGCCTGTTCACTGAGTCCTCCTCTGTTGTATTGCCCTTGTAGAACTTAGCAAGGAAGGCGACGGGAATAAAACCAGACATAGTTGGCTTTGCCTGTCATTGGCTCCACTTGATCTCCCTGCCTTCGCCACACCAACCAGCCTCTAGCCATCATGGCATTTAATTGTCAGTTATAATAATAATATAATAATAATTTTTTATTTATACCCCACCCTCCCCAGCCAGAGCCGGGCTCAGAGCGGCTAACACCAATAAAATTACAATAAAACATAATGGGGGGGGGAGGGAGAGAACCAGTTTATTAAAATACGGGTTAAAATACAATTTAAAATGCAGCCTCATTTTAACAGTAGCCCATGAATCAAAACCATAAGGGGAGGGAAACATAAGGGTCAGACTGAGTCCAAATCAAAGGGCAGGCGGAACAGCTCTGTCTTGCAGGCCCTGTGGAAAGATGTCAAGTCCTGCAGGGCCCTAGTCTCTTGTGACAGAGCGTTCTACCAAGTCGGGGCCAGTACTGAAAAGGCCCTGGCCCTAGTTGAGACCAATCTAAACACCTTGCGGCTTGGGACCTCCAAAGTGTTGTTATTGTCGCCCCCCTGCCTCCATCCTAAATGGTCACATCCACACATTAGCCTTTTTCACCACTTACCTCACAATGGTGAGAGGAAGAGGGTTTTCACTCCTGTACCAAAAACGTTCAGTAGACATTTGCATGAATCCGTGATCACACTGAGTGGATCTGTTTGTGTCACCATCCCGCCACCCACCCCCACCTCTGATTTTTTTGAGGGAGGGAAACATAGCAAAGTTTTGCCCATATTCTCTATAAGTTTGCATTTATTCAGCATCACAGGCAGTCTGTGGGCATATTTAGAAGGTATTATGAAGCAGTGATTTGCTGCTTCTGAAATGTTGTGTACCATATCTCTCCGATCTCAACCCATCTGTCATGACAGTCTACGTCTTGGCATCTCCGAGGAAAGAAACCAAATTAAAAAGGGAAAGGGTTTTTTTGGGGGGGGTGTTTGTTTTTTAAAGTGGATTTTGAACACCCACAAGTGTGAATTAAAAATTGCTCTCCTCTTGTGGTCTTACAGCAGTATTACATGAAAACGGGAGAGAAAAATATATTATGACAGTTTCAGTGTCCAAACGCTGAGGAAAGCTATTTGCTATGACCTGTTGATATTCAGGATTCATATCATTTGCATTAATAAAAAACAAACCTTAAGCATTGTGATCTACAGTAATAGAAAAGGAGGACTGTCATCATAAGCTTCTTTGTCAAAAAGCTAATGTACTTGCTTTCAATCACTAAACACTTTTTTTTAATGCCCTAATACTGGAAGGCTTGATGGAATACATAACATTCCTTTGCTTCAAAGGATAGTCTTAAGCAGGGGTCAGCAAGGTTTATCTTGCCTGGGCCGGATCGGTCCCGCAGAGATCCCTCCATGGGCCGGATCATGAGCGCCCGTGATTTTCGGCATCTGCACATGCGTAGACGCAATTTTCGGCACCACGGAAGCGAGTCCCCGCGCTGCGCTGGTTTAGTGCAGCGCAAGAGTGGGCAGCTCAGTTCGGGGGCTGCTCGTGGGCCGGTCAAACGACTTCCGCAGGCTGCTTCTGGCCCATGGGCCTTACGTTGCTGACCCCTGGTCTTAAGGAACGCTCCTTGTTGATCCTCAGAAAGAAATCAATGCTCCTTCGTGAACTTGGCTTTAAACTGAAGAAAGTAGTTGTGGCCACAAATGCACAAGGTCCGGCTTCCCATTTACTCCAGACAAGTAGACTTCGCTGGAATAAAGACGCTAAAAACATCTTCAGAACATTGGGCTGCTTTTCCACTGGCTTCTCCCGCTGCTCACTTGCTGCTCACAGTCGCAGTATTTGTTGTGTGAGGAATAATTATAAGAAGAGCGTGCTGGATCAGGCCAATGGCCCATATCTAGTCCAGCATCCTGTTCTCACAGTGGCCAACCAGAGGAAACCCAGAAGCAGAATCCAAGCACTCTTGCCTCCTTTGGTTTTCAGCAGCTGGTACTCCAGGGGTGTAGCGTGGGGAGGGGGCTGGGGGGCAATCGCCTTGGGTACAGTTTTCTGGGGGGCACGCCGCTCCCACCACCCTCCCCGAGCCAGCCCTGCACTGCTTTGTGAAGCTGGGATCTGATCTGATCTGATTCCCCAGCAGCTTGGGGAAGGCAGCGTGATAAGGATGCAACAGCCACATGCCCTTTGATCCCAGGCTAATAATACGTTTTTGCAGGCTAGTAACCTTTGCTGGCTTATTAGTTTAGCTATAGGGGTGGGGAGCAGTGGTATCAGGCAGGAGTGGACATTGATTTCTTATTTTATTTAATGGATGTGATTTTATTGGTGATTTTATGCTGTTCACCACCTTCCTTTTTTATGTTGGTGGTATGGGAATATTCGCAAAAGAAAAAATATCATGAAGAAGAAGAAGATTTTGGATTTGATATCCCGCTTTATCACTACCCGAAGGAGTCTCAAAGCGGCTAACATTCTCCTTTCCCTTCCTCCCCCACAACAAACACTCTGTGAGGTGAGTGAGGTGAGTGGGGCTGAGAGACTTCAGAGAAGTGTGACTGGCCCAAGGTCACCCAGCCTTGTGGAGTGAGGAGACTGCATGTGGAGGAGCGGAGACGCAAACCCAGTTCACCAGATTACGAGTCCACCGCTCTTAACCACTACACCACACTGGCTGTTATTTTCCCAGTTCTGTGAAGCTCATTTCCGAAATGCATGACCCTAAACCTAAATACTAAGTACAATGAGTATATATCCACTGTCACTAAAGAAGACATCGCCATATATTTGACACACTGTTACACCACTTTTGACAGTCATGGCTTTCCTCAAAGAATCCTGGGAACCGTAATTTCTTAAGGATGCTTTGAGCTGGAGCTGTGTGTGGTGTCTCCTAATTCTTGGGAGCTGTCATTTGGGAAGGGTCCTAAGAGTTCTTAGGAGACCCCACACAGAACTACAGTTCCCACTAGCCTAACAAATTACAGTTCCCAATATTCTTTGGAGGAATCCATGACTGTTAAGATGGCATAAGAGTTCTTTAAAAGTATGTTCAATGAAGCTCCCAGGTTACTCTTCCCAGGCAGTGGTCCCAAGAGACATGATGCAGCACAATCACCAAAGTTGATCAGTGTCTGGAAGAGAAACTGTCAGAGAGCTCTAGGTACATTGCCTTGACTTTCACTGAAGAAAGGCAGGATATTAATTTTTGTAAATAATAATAGCTAGACTGTGTTAGAAGTGAATGGGAGATCATCATCTTTTTTTTACCACCATTGACTGAGCAAGCACCAGTCTGTTAAAGGCTAAAGTCTGTTAAAGGATACCTGTTGTGCGTTAAGTGGCTTTTAATATGCATCTCTCACAAGACTTTGCCATTTCTTGGTGCAATTTGCTGTGTTTAGGGTGTCTCCGAAAAATGTCACTTGGGAAGACAGGCGAACCAATGTCAGTATACTGGAAGAAGCAAAGAACACCAGTGTTGAAGCAATGATTTTTCAACATCAACTTCGTTGGACTGGTCATGTTGTGTGGATGCCTGATTATCGTCTTCCAAAGCAACTACTCTTATTCCGAACTTAAAAATGGAAAGCGTAATGCTGGTGGTCAACAAAAGAGGTTTAAAGACTCTCTCAAGGCAAATCTAAAAAAAAAGTAAACACCGACAACTGGGAAACACTGGCCTGCGAGCGCTCCAATTGGAGAACAGCCTTTTCCAAAGGTGTCATGGGCTTTGAAGACACTCAAACTCAGGACGCAAGGGAGAAACATGCTAAGAGGAAGGCACGCTTGGCAAATCCACACCGTGATCAACTTCCAGCCGGAAAGCTATGTCCCCACTATGGAAGGACGTGTGGATCCAGAATTGGCCTCCACAGTCACTTATGGACTCACTGTTAAGACCATGTTCATGGAAGACTATTTTACTTGGCTACAAGTGATCGCCAAAGAAAAGAAAGAAGAAGAGTCCCATTGCTGGGGGCGAATGCCATGTATAACTGCAAACACTGCTGGTATATCAATAAGAAGGATGTCAGCATTACCCAAGCAATCCTTGTATGCCAGTGTTGCATCAGTTAGGGAATTTAGTGTGAGGGGTAGAAAATCAGCCAGGAAGAGGAATTGTGTGTTGAGGATCAAAAGAAGCTGCCATATATAGACCACTGAATCCTCAGTGTGTTGTCTACGCTGGAAGTGCATCTCCAGGGTTTCAGACAGCACTGCTTCCAGGCCCTACCTGGTGATGGCAGGGATTGAACCTGGAACCTTCCTCATGCAAGGCAGGTGCTCTGCCACTGAGCTACTGTTTTTGCCAGTGGACTAGGCTGTGGGAACTCTGAGTATCAAGCAGCAGTATATTGCATACATGCCTATCTGCTTGCAGCCCACTGTGTGCTAGGCACCACATACTCTCCATGTTCCTGGCACTTCAGATATTGAGAACTGTTGTCTTAGTAGTTCAGGAGCAACAAATTTATCTTTCTCCAGAGATTACTTCAAACAGACTCCTCGAATACGCTTCATAGCTCATAAAATCTGCATGGTCACCCTATTAACAAAATGTCAGTGCCCCTTCATGTTCTTGAACACCTCTCTTGTTTTGCAGAAACGATGTTGCCGAAATTAAATGAATTCCCCAGTCTTGTTTTTTTGTTATTAAAAAGTTTTCCACAAATCCAACAGTTTCCCCTTCAGTCCGTGCTCCTTGGCTTCCTTCAACCACCCTGCGCACAACGCCTTAGTCCTTCCTAGAAGTGCAATTCAATAAACATGGTCCTATTGCCTATCAATAAAAGACAAAAAATATGTAAAATGATAAATGAGTGAAGAAGTTAGCAAGAACAACCTTGCCACAGGCCCAATGCTTTACATGTTGAATTATTATTGAAGTTATACTTCTGCTTTTACTCTGGACAGTTTACGAATGCTTTCAGGGCTACACATAACATAGAGGTCAGAGTTGCCATACATCTGGAATTTCCCGGACATATCTGGAATGCTGCAGTTGGAAGCAGTGTCCAGGCGGGAATCGCAAAAAGACAAAAATGTCCAGGAAAATTCGGACGTACAGCAACCTGTGTTGGTGCCGTTTTCTGCAATTTCCCTTAAAAATAGCTTTTTTGCAAATTTTTTCACTGTTTGAAATATGGCAATCCTAATACAGGTGGATTTCAGGCTGGGACTAGTCATCCCGGTAATTGCTACAGAGATGTGGGCAAGAATACTAGATATACTTTAGGTGAAAATGGGCCTACATGGAAAAACAAGGAAACAGAGCCCTGAGGCAATGTAAGCCACGTTGTAGCCAAATGAAGAAGTTCAACAGGGAAGCAGTGGCATAAACTAAGCATCCGCCCACAGCAGAAAGGGGAGTAGGAAGCCAATAAGTGCAGTAGTGGAGCCTTTGCACCAGACTGAAAAGACTGCTGCATTGGATTTACTCCCAAGTGGCCTGGTTGTTCCCCTGCTACTCTGGGTCTATGTAAAGGCTTCCTCCCCTATGGTTTCTCTCCATCAGTGTGAATCTCCACACCGTTTGCTGGGAATCACAGCTGGGGAGAGTACGGTTGCACTCGCGTCCTGCTTGCGGTCTTCCCATGTGGTTGGCTTCTGACAGGAGCGAGCCAGCAGTAAATCACACCATGCAAGTTGGAGTTAACTCTTGAGGATCTGCACAGGAGTGTCAGGCCTAATGAGCAGAGCAACACATTTCCGGCAGGTCTTGCCCCCATGAGGCAGTTGCTGAGACTAAAGGTCCCCGCCTCCCCACAGCTCCCTAAATCCCCTCCTCTCCTAGGTTCTCCTCCCATCCAGGCCCTGACCAGACCCATATTTGCTTCAGCATCATGTGCCTTCAAATATGCTAGCAATGTAGGCCCGATAGCTGCAGAAGGAGATGGACCCCACCACATTATTAAAGAGACTATGGGAAAGTAGTGTTTCAGCAACTACCATGGCACCATGGGAATGAGAGTTTGGATTTACAGTTCAAGATGTAGTAGCTACAAGTCTGGTGTCAGACATGTCATCTTTAGGAAGCTGTATCTGCCTGCCAGTGTGGTGTAGTGGTTCAGAGCGGTGGATTCATAATCTGGTGAACAGGGTTCGCTTCCCCGCTCCTCCACATGCAGCTGCTGGGTGACCTTGGGCCAGTCACACTTCTCTGAAGTCTCTCAGCCTCACTCACCTCACAGAGTGTTTGTTGTGGGGGAGGAAGGGAAAGGAGATTGTTAGCCGCTTTGAGACTCCTTAAGGGGAGTGAAAGGTGGGGTATCAAGTCCAAACTCTTCCTTTTCTTCTTCTTCCTGCTCCCAGCACTCCACAGATGATGGATCCACCCTGTCGCCCACATTAAGTACCACAGAAGTCACCATTTTATTTTCCCATAGCACCTTGGAGCAATGCTGTGTGGAAAATTAAAATAGCACATCCCAGGCCTTCACTGGGGGCTGCCCAATACTCATCAGAGTGCCTTTGCTGGATGCTGCTACTCACATAGGAGTGGTCCAACCACTTGGGCCCATTCCCCATTAGACATGGAGGCAGCTATGGCTGACCATTTCCTCATCATGTAACAGAAGACTGGTATTTACTCACCCACAAGCAGAAGGATGCAGGGAACTTACATAATATGAGAAGCAGAACTTCTATGCAGGGGGTGTGGTTAGCAGAAGGAAAGAAAGGCGCCTTTGCCAGGGCCTATATGGCTGCCTGGTGCTCAGCTTCTTTTACGACGAGTTACAAGTGTCGCAACACCATTTTTCAGAAGTCCTATAATGGAATTTGGCAAGGGGAGCCATGTTTTTTATTCCAGTGCTCGTGGTTACAACTTCAGCCCTTACTTTTTGCCTACAATTAGATATGCACCACAAATCCTCTTTATGATCCAAGCCTTGCTGGGGGAAAAGATTTTTTCCTCCATTTAATTTTACAGCATTAACTCAGACATTTAGGAGATGCTCACCTCTTGCTCTGATATAGATGCATTGAAATCCTGCTGTCTTCATGCATCTCAATCTACAGATGTCACTAGCTTAAAAAAGAACCCCAATTCTTTTCAGAAAACAGGGAGACTCTTAACAGTGAATAAAATGTATCTGGCTCATTTATGTTTTGAGTTTAAGACTAGCACAATGAAACATTTCCCAGTCCCCAAAGACCCTTTATGAGAGATGCCAGGGTTAGGCTGTGATTCCTTATAACACAATAGGCCACTCAGTCAAAGCTCACTACATACTTGTGGACATTGCGCGCACACACACACACACACACACACACACGTGTCTCAGTTCACTCCAAGACTGTATTTATGGCCTGAATCCAGCAACCAAGGACCAGACTATTAATTATTACATGTATAACCAGTAATGGCCAGTGTGGAGTACCACTGCTCATCTGACCTCTGATTGGTTGCATAGTTGCTGCTTAATGGGAAGTAGAGGGTGGGGAGCGAGGCAGGGGTGATGTTGGTGTGGTGCAAATGCAGCAGCAGGAATGCCAGATCGGCTTTGCCAGTGTGTTTGCACTGCGTCACCCATGTCGCTGACTCACTCCTCCCCTCTACCTTCTGGTAAACAGCAACAACACAACTGAGTGGTGCCACCCCATCCCACCACCTGCTACTGTTTATAGGCCACCTTTCCTTCCAGTAGATCAAGAGGCAGGTATGGTCTTTCCTCTACCAAGCCAATGATGTTGGTTGGGCTGAGAGACAGCAACTGGCACCAAAGTAAGCATCTTGGCTGAAAGACTTGACCATGGATCTCCTCAGTGCTGATATGACACTCCAGACACAACACTGCGTTAGCTTTGTTTGTAGCATCTCTTTTGGCCCCAAGTCCTGTTGAAACCACAGGACTTAAAGTAGTTGTTGCTATTCATTTGTCCCATTGTCTTAAGCGGGTGTGCAGTGCAACACCATGCATGGCTTCTCAGAGATATTGTTGGCATCTGCTGTCTTGGGAGACAATAGCGGAGTGTGCCTTTGCGGTGAAGTCAAACCATTGGTGAGTTACAGCACCTGCTGTGGCTGTAGAAACCGATACAGGAGAGACATGTTTTGCTGCAGCTGGGCCAGATGAAAGGGTCCAGTTGTGCTACTGCAGATGCACCATGGCATTTCTTCTCTCTGCACTCCTTCCAGCGGTCATTCCTTTTCTGGTTACTGCTGTGGATACAAGACCTGACTGTCTGTCTCTAGGCACTGCAGTCGTCTGTAAGGGATTCACACAAGGCAGGATTGATCTTGCCAGCCTTCACCTCATGTTTGCAGACATATTTGTAACACAGAGATGGGACCACTGAGAGATAAGGACCACTGAATGCAATGGGAATTATTCCCAAGGAGGAATGGATGAGTCTGTCAGTTGCTCATTCTCTCAGTTACTAATTATTCCAGTCTTAAGAGCCAGTGTGGTGTAGTGGTTAAGAGCGGTAGACTTGTAATCTGGTGAACCAGGTTTGCGTCTCTGCTCCTCCACATGCAGCTGCTGGGTGACCTTGGACCAGTCACACTTCTCTGAAGTCTCTCAGCCCCACTTACCTCACAGAGTGTTTGTTGTGGGGGTGGGGAGGGAAAGGAGAATGTTAGCCACTTTGAGACTCCTTCGGGTAGTGATAAAGTGGGATATCAAATCCAAACTCTTCAGTTTACCAGAGTTCTACATCAGTCTGCAGGGGTTCAGGGGGACATCATGAAAATTCATTAGCGTTTTACTGTGTGTTTATCCTAATATACACAGTTTTAATTTTGCCTATAGAAACATTCTTGCAAGCAATCTCCCCATACCTGCTACATTTTTGGTAACACAATAATCTCAGCAATTAACACCAACCCACTAGTTTAAGAAGTTAAAGGTGTTCCTATTTAACATATAGTTATGCTTTAAATATCGCTGGCTGTAATTTGTGCATCTCGTTGCCTTTCAGCACCAACCTTGCAATTTTGTCTTTTATAATCCTTTAGCGCTTGTTGAATTGGTTTTATTGTTTTGATAGCTTGTGTCTTTGCTTTTCATTCGGTTTTAACTTGTGCACCACTTTGGTCTATACATTTGTGTAACAACAACAATGATATCGCTTCAGGCAGCTGACCAAGTGGGCTCATGCCACATAATACATGAATTTGCCTTCAAGATGCCGCAAGACTCTGATTCTTTTTACTGCAAGAGAATAACTCCACTACCCCTCTGAAATATTTCTGCACTAGTGTGAACTGTTATTATGATCACTGTTATATTATTGGCTGGCGGTCAGTATGTTATTATTATTGTTATGTTTTTATCTTTGATGTTCTGTAACGTGT